GTGACCAAGAAACATGTAGTAGTCTACGTGTTTTTGCAACATATCTGTATAGTCTTTCTGGCAGGATGATGAGATTTTTATCTACAATAATAACCACCTCATGCTTGCCCTTGTACTAAGGCAGGTAAAGATACATTCGTCACAAATAATCGTAACTAAATGATGTCCTACCGAATACCTCAGCAAATGAGCAGCACCTCAATGTTTATTGTGGAGGTGAACAATAATACTACCACCAATCAAAAATTACAAATAAATGGGGACCCTAGCACATACCCCTGTCCTGTAAGTGGGGCTGCATAACAGTCACGCGGTAAACTACTCCTGGTACCCTTACATACTCCATACATCCATGGGTAGATACCTAAGGTAAAGGTACCTAACGGAGGTCTCAAGAATTTCAGCCGAGTTGTGCAATGGGAGACTGACTGACTCTGGACAGAACAATAATATGGGTAAACTACAAGAGGACTAGGAGGTATCCACATTAGTGGTAGGGAATAGTCCTGACTGACTTCTTTGAGAGTAGTTGCAAATATTAATGATCACCCTGAGGGAACATCATCCTCCCAACATCAAATTTAGGCAAATACGTAAGACCCATTTATCAGACGGATCCAACCTTCACGACCGTATCATTTTGACGATCAGAGAGCAGAATTGACAACTGGCAAGAATTATCTCCATAGGATCATCCAATATCCGTAAACCCATCAATCCATCAATCCATAGTCACACCTTCAGCAGGTCACAAGCCACCTTCATGGACGGGGATAACGCATGCGACCTGGCGCTGATAGCCTGATGCGGGGGGTCCGAGGAACATATTCAACTGGTTCGTTGGGTTTAAACACTCGGCCGGGGGAACGACAGACAATCTTGTAAGTCGCATACCAGGGCTACCGACTTAGATGCCTTAGGTTAATCATGTTACCATTTTACATCAATATTTCCGTAGCGGTACGATGTTTGCAAGCCATGATACATCTGTCGTTGTGAAATGGCGCGATACAGTTGTCCACCCACTCCAAGGTGGACTGAATGCAATATGTACCTAGGTACATGAGGAGCCCATCTTGATACCAAAGAATCTACAAACATGCCTAGTGTTTCTGGGTTCCTCTAATTAACATAGGATGTTGATATTGTTATATAATTTGAGTGCGCAAGACCCTCGTTTTTATTACCGTACGATTACCCACCCATAAAGCCAAGTCAAGCAGACCCATTGGGCTATTTAACCCTCGAGCAGCGGAAGGCATCCGGCTCCAATCATGCAGAGTAGCACAACGTCCTTTGCTTCCCTCCGTCGAAACACCTTACTGGCACGAAACCTTAGCCCCCGAAGGATGTGAAAAAGAGCTGTCGAATTCGGCCGTTGGTCCATTTTGAATATTCCTAATTCGATTGGGTGATATACCACCTATCTACTGCTCACCATAACCCTCTCAAGTTTCTTCCCTCGACTTGATGACTCGAGTTCACCGTCCATGGCAAACCAGGATCCATCACTGTTGTAATTCGTGCTGTGGTCCTCTGATGCGTTAAATCAAAAAGGGATACATTCACGGACATGATTTACAGTATAATGACGTGATTGCCGTCATGGCGCCGATAGTTGCCCTAAAAAGGTGAGAAATGGTGGACTTTCCCAGCGGCAACTTCAGCCCACCGCAAGGGGGCTGTTCTTCGCACACAGTACACTTACCGGAGAAGTTTGACTAGTCGATTCCCAGTACATGGAAGAGTTGGAGAAAATTCTCTTTACCTTCCCAAAAAGAAATCCTTCGTTCGTCGGAGATTTAGTCGCCCTGTTATGTTTTTCTTTGTTCTCTATTCTCTATACTTGCTTTTTTGGTGGCTCTCTTTTCGTCATTTGTTGATCAATGATATGAAAGGTACAAGGCACACGCTTCTTACTTCTCACTGTTTTGTTGGTTTACCACGGCGGTTGAGATGGGGTTCATTTTCGAGTACAGTTCCTTTTCGCACCGATGCCGCAGTAGCTAAGAGTTAGGAAAGGCAATAAAACATGCTGTTGGTACGGAGCATTATTAGCAGTATGACAAAGTATCAATAACATTATTACATGCTACACCTGCATGTCCAATCTAAATGTCAGATTTCAAACTTCAATCAGCGACACCTGTATATGTTGGGTAGAGTCGTGATACAAGGCCGAATGATGATGCTTTGATCTTCAGATACCGTCAACTGCATGCAGCAACAATTTCTGTTTGTCCGTCTTTATTAGCCATTCCCATACAGAGACACTTGGATTATACACAGAGACGATGATGGTTTGGGTTCAACTGTAGAGTGTAGAATTAGATGTAGATAGACTGTCAAGTGGTTCGATCTGAGTGGAGCGAATGCTTCCGACATGATCGGCGCGCTGTACATCCCTGCCGGTTTCACCTCCCTCCTAGTAAGGCGCAGCCATGGTTCCGTCAGAAAAATTGTCGAACCCACAGGAATGGATCATCCCTCTTGCTCTCAAACAGTTTTGTGATTCGGTAGAACATCACTTTTCATCCTATAACTCGGTAAACAAAAAGCCTCACCGTCTTGATTTCTCCGCCGAATGAGCGATCATTCATGACTGAACACAATGATGTACAGTCAGACTGCAGGATAGCACAGTTTCGATGCCGTGAACCCGAGTAGGTTGTTTGGATTCTCTTGGTCCTCATACTCATCTCTCGGATCTTCTTTGAATCGCTCGTTATTACGGATATTGAGCATATTTTCGGAGACCAGGGTACATCTGACATTGACAATATCTTGCCGTGACTCGATCGTCATTGCATGATCTTGTCCCTCGAGGGCCCCATTAGACTCATTACAATGGAATAAAGGAGTTAGTTTCACCCCACTGATGGCTGCGACGACTAAGTAGCATTCCTGTTCTTCCCCGGTTTCTCACTCTGCTACAGTGGTGATATGAATATGACCAGGTTACCCGAAGTCAAGACTTGCTACAGATGATCTAGTGATCTACTTTAGTGTTTCTTTTCCTCGAAGAACTTTCGTCATATTGGCGGTCATTGAAATAATCCTTCAGCGACGGTAAATCATGTTCCGTGGTATATGCGATCATCCAGTCGATATACATCTTCCTGGCACGTAATTGCTTCGTTTTCCCTACGAAAGGAAACTCGCGTTGGATTGTGAGGATCATCCTCATTCCTCCGAGAGCCAACCACTTCAGTTGTGGTACAAGACTGCAATTACTTACCTAGGGACGAAGTTGTAGTCATGACGCCCCTTCTTTACCTCTAGGGGGTAGACTAGGTTAACGCTAACCGTTCTGGCACTAAAGGTAATTATTGACCAAGCTGTTTTGCTGGGAAAACTCACCAAAAACCAGACTAAAATGAGACTAAATCAAATAGGTGGTTGAAAAGAGGAACCCACTAAGACCAGCCGCCCCCGCTAAATCCACTGGAACCACACCAAACGGGGCGCCTCTTCACCGAAATTCCAACTGCCCTTGACCCTGTATCCGTATGCGCGTATGACCATGCTAGATTCACTACCTCCTTTTAGCGGTATCGACTCCGTGGGCCTAACGACAAAAGGGAAGCTAAAATCAAGTGGCGGCCACGAGCCTTTCAGCCTCTAACTTTATCTGGTTAGACACTTGTTACTAACAAAACTACCAATACCAGATTTAATTACTCCTTCCCGTCAAAAGTACCACTCCTTAGGTACTCCATAGGTACAGTGTTTCTACACTAGGACAGGTGTACGTACCTCCTACGTAGGTACTCCGTCCTCCGTGGGTAGATATCCATATTCCTACTAAGAGGAGCAGGCAGGCCGGGAGAATATTATTTAATTATCTTGTTGTGACCAGCAATTTTTAAAATCATTATTTCATTTTATATTTCCAATTTTAATATTAATAGAAAAATATTATTAAATATTTTTCCAATTACTCCATACAAGCACCATCTCTACCCAGCTACCACACTTCTTCGTCCTTCTTGATACTTACCAGTAGTAATCATAATTCAATATGACTCCAATGAACACTACCGCTACCTTACAAACTGCTAACTAGCTTCCATTACGGAGTACCTCCTCTTCCTACTCACCAAGTAGTCTACCAGACAACTCACTATCTGCCTACTGCTCCGTACCAACCTGCCAACTACTTCCTACTCCATACCTAGAGTACTGTCAATCATTTTCATTCTTTTTTCTTCTCTTTCTCTCCCCTCTTCTCTTCTTACTACACTGCTCCTGCCACCTTCACTTACTCTGAAACTATTTTTCTCTTCGTTTCCTCAGATTATCTCCCCGCCGTTGTTGTTTTCGACACTCCCGCCAACGTACTTCACACCGTCCACCTTCCACCTCCTATCCACCCGTTTTCGGACTGCGACCGGGCCCCATTTCCACAAGCGCTTCTTGAACGCATCAAAAACTGGGAACAGACTGAAAGAGAAGGAGGAATCGCTGGATTAACGGTCGACTCAGAGAACAAACACTCTGAATTTTTTCTATCCCGAGTTTCGGAAGCTCGACATCTTTCGCTTACCCCATAGCGCTCTCCCGAAACTCTCCCTGTCCATTTCTCCTGACTCGTTCCTGGGGTCACAGCTCTCCTACTATCCAGCGTCTTTTCTTCCTTTCTGTAGCATTGGACTTTACTCAATTCTCAATCTGTTCTTTATCAAGATTGCAGAAGGTCTTCGCTACTACTTTCGGAGAGACGTTCGCTCACCTACTTGGTCCCGACAAACTACCTCGAGCGACGAACACAGATTTTATCTGAGTAAATCGCTGGAGGTAGTACCAAATATCGGTTCTCACACTGATCGTACTGGCGAAAGAATTCTTGCTAGGCAGGAAACTTGAGCGGTTGACAAGGTTGAACCTTCACAGCCATTCTACGCGGATCATCAGTTTGCTTTTTCCTTGGGAAGCCACCGTTTTATCCCCAAGGAAGGTTTTCAAGTGTCAACCACCCCCGCCACCATTGCGGTAGTACCATGGCATCTACGTCGGATGTACACGGATCCTCACCTGTTCCAAGCCTACCACAACCCCATGATACCGGTCGCGTACACATGTCCTCCCTCTCTTCATCTTCTTCCATATCCGACGCAGAAAGTGAACGAAGAGGCCGTTCTGAACGCCCTCGAATGGCTAGTCGAAAGCCAAGTGCATCAATTCTAGTGCCTCGCGATCATCCAGAAATCGAAATCGAAGAGGAAGAATTTCCGCCCGACGACGCTCGAGCCATGAGTCCGCGTCGCAATTCCGCTGATCTGGAGCGCTTGGGCAAGGAGGCAAGACAGACCTTGCAGGAGTGAGTTTACGGATACGCCGCCTACTGCGGTCATAGTATTGTGCTAATCTTTGTTTTATAATCTAGACAAGCAAAGGCACTTCAGTCCTCTCTCCAAGCTCTTGCAGAACGTATTGAGGCGGTCAAGTCCGATCATGACAAACTCGAAAGCGAGAATAAATTCCTGCAAGACTATATCGGCGGACTTACTCGCAACATGACCAAGGCCGAATTGACGAGATCGAGTACCAAAGTCAAGAGATCGCATAAATAACGCGTGCGCCAGTTTAGACCCCAGAGCCGACAGGATCAGGATCCTCGGCGATCGGGCAATATGATGTCGAGAAGATTCAAGCCCGGGGCGTGCTGAGTTTCGGCTTACATCAACTTCTGTCCATCTACACTCCCTCCATACTTATATCGATACTACTCAGCAACTTTACTAGCTGGATAACTGATTGCGGAACAGCCAGTTTACCATTACGACAGTAACAGAATATCTACGCGAAACAGGTTCCAGCTGCTGCAGACCTGCAACCTACATTATTGACCCTTTTGAACGTGACATTGTTCATCTCCAATATCGGTTGCCTTGTCGAAATTGTCTCAAGGTCCTTCAAGCAGACTCGTCTCAGCGTCACACCTACCATTGCTCAAAAACTACAAATCTAACAAACTATGACGTTTTCAATCAAATGGCGATCAAGCCCTCTGTACAACAACGCACTTCTTCAAACAACAAATCAAAGACTGCAGGTGATGGTGTCCGTGTGATTTGCCCAAGGGAGAGAGAAAGTGTGACATCATAGCATGCCATGTGTTGCTATGGAATTCGTTCCGCCACCTTGAGTCGTGCAGGATTCCCGTCTTGTCTATCCTTGCGGCTGATCTTGAGACATGCCTTACCTACACTTTGCTGCCTTGCGTGGGGTCGGATTACACCCCGTTCTTTTCGCAAGCAGCCTTGACTTCATTGTCGATATTTTCACTTCTCCTTTTCTCCCCTTTGCCTCATCATAATTTTCTCTCTTTCAGTTACCACGGTGGCCTAGTGTATTTTTGTGGCATAGCACGCTCGGCGTTTGGTTGTGGGATCATTAACCTAGACTTGAATGACTTTGGAGCCGCTCTGGGACGCATTTGATCTCATGGTCAGCAAAAATAGCGGGAAAGCATTTTCATGGAGCAGCCAATGAGGTTTCATTTACTTTTCGCGTGTACATTTGTCCCGTCTAAGTCTCATGGCTGTGTTTGTTTGTTTGGCTCTGAAAGACATTTGCTTTACCATACCCAGGGGCGCACAGTTTGATATTAGTTAGTATGAATGAATTCACTTCGATATCAACTTCTATCTTCGGCATGTTTTCACCTCAAAACACTCACAAAATCGACCAAGCTGGCATTCTCTCCCTGGCAAGAGGCATCTATTGCACCAACCAGGCTTAAGCTCCCAGTGCCTGAACTCATGCTTCATACTGGTGTTCCGAGGTGATCGACGCAGTATACCCAACCAGCCACTCTAGTATTCCTGGCTTTCAACTCAGTGCCAATGTACGAAACCCGAACGCCACATGCCACATATCAGACTCCCACATACTAGTCAGATCTAACCGCTATAGCCAAGATCCAGTGGCGCAGATCATGATGCATGCATCTTACTGTACTAGTATAGACTTTTAATACCTGTCGTCGTAGCGTCAGTAAATCCTCTTATCTACAAGACAATACGCATTGCAGCCTGCCCCTAGTACGGAGTAGACCACCAGTAGTCAGTTCAGTTACTCCCGTCCTCGCTGGTCGCCACCGCCCAGAGACATCACAGCTCAAGCAAGCAAGGTAAACCAAGACAAACGCCATCGACTTCGCCTTCTTGTAGGAAGGATACCAAGTAATGCAAAAAGAGAAACGAAGCTAAACAGAGAGGAACAATGACATCATTCTCAAACGTGCACGTCCTAGGGCCTATGGGAAGTTGGCATCGTCATATTCTGTATATAACAGGGGTATTTTTCTACTACCCCTGGTGGACTTCAGAGATTTTGATGGTCTATCGTAATAGTACCTTAAGACCGCATGACAGATGTGGCAAATGTGGCTAAGCATTGGATATTCTATATCCCTCCTATGTAGATACCTCTTAGTGTGTACAGGGGCAGGCTGAGATTAAGGGCGGCTGGGGCACGCCGCATACGTCATGGTTTCAGAGTATGAGGCTGAGGCTGAGGCGAGCGGCAATGGAAGCTTGCGTGAGGATTCAGGTTGATTGATCTCCTGATATATCTCAAAGTTGGATCCTAGGGACAATCGTCAAGTGACGTTCTGTTGTGTCCTGTGCCTGTCCAGATTATCGCGACGCATAGACTGTTGGGTTAACGAGCAGCTACTATGGAGCCAATTTCCGCTTCAGGGTAAATTTCAACTTTCTTTGAGAGCCACTGCGCCTGGGTTTAGATCTAAATTCGAGCTAAGGCGAAGAATCAAACGCCGTGCGCGGCACAAAATACGTAGATAGGAAAACCAAGACAGGATCCGTGACGACAAGTCAGGACCTCCGGGGGTGTAAAAATTGGGGGAGACTTGGTGGAGAGCGCGATTCTGTAAGACAGAAAGGTATTCTTTGGGTAATTGAGGTGATAAGCAAAATTGCAAACGAGAAAATGAACAAGGGTAGTAAACAAGATGAAGGACGGGGACCACGGATAGAGAGAACAAGTGCATCAAACCAGATGCCAGACAAAACTCGCAAGCAGCGCGAGGTGACTGTAGACGCGAAAAGAGGAAAAGGGTCTAAGGATCTTCATCACGAAATCGCATCTTCATCCCGTTTGTGCCAAAATCCTCGAAGAGGTCCCCAGCTTAGAGGGCTAATAGTGACGCGAATGGGGAGATGCATCTCGTCCCCGTCCCTTCTCATGCGCTTCAGTTGTACTATGCGCTAACAAGCAAGCCCCTCACCCTTGTTAGTTCCATCCGCGGTCGGACGCGAATTCCTCCATCTTTCTTTTTTTGTTTTTCCTTGTTTATTCAGCGGGCTTCTCGCCCTCAGTGGCAGGGGCCTCCTCCTTCTTCTCGGCAGGAGTGTTCGACTCAGCAGCGGGCTCAGCCTCAGATGAGGTCCAGAGAGTCTGAGTCCGTTAGCATATACTCCTTGGGAAAATCGTCCAAAGGAAAGGTATCTTACCAGGTTGTCTCTGAGAAGCTGCATGATGAGAGTGGAGTCCTTGTAGCTCTCTTCGCTCAGGGTGTCGAGCTCTGTGGCGCGTTAGTCTTCGTGCAACTCCAATGTGTTTTATCGCGGACATAGATTTGACATACCAGCAATGGCATCATCAAAAGCGAGCTTGGCAAGGTGGCAAGCCTGGTCGGGAGAGTTGAGGATTTCGTAGTAGAAGACGGAGAAGTTAAGAGCCAATCCAAGGCGGATGGGGTGAGTGGGAGCGAGGTCGGTCTGAGCGACTTCGGTAGCGTTCTTGTAAGCCTCGAGAGAGGCATCGGCGGCGGCCTTGCGGCGGTCGCCAACGGCGAACTCAGCAAGGTACCGGTGGTAGTCACCCTTCCTGTTGATTCAAAAAGATGAGAAATCAGTACAAATCCCCCCTTTCTTCGTATTCCGGCAGAGGATAAAGAAGACGTACATCTTATGGTAGAAGACCTTGGACTCGCCGCTCGCAGCAGAGGGAATCAGGTGCTTGTCCAGAACGTCCAGAATGTCATCGCAGATCTTAGCAAGCTCGGTCTCGATCTTCTGGCGGTACTCCTTGATCAGAGCGACCTGGGACTCGTTGCCCTTCGATTCCTCCTTCTGCTCGATCGAGGTAACGATTCTCCACGACGCACGTCTGGCTCCAATGACGTTCTTGTAGGCGACAGAGAGAAGATTCCGCTCCTCGACGGTGAGCTCTACATCGGAGGAGGCGACAACCTTCATGTTCTCGACCATCTCTGAAGCGAAGCTGTTAGTCCAAGAACCTCAATAGATTGGGTGTTGCTTCAGATAACAAACCTTCGTAGCGCTCAGCCTGCTCGGCGAGCTTGGCCAGGTAAACAGCATCTTCGTGACCCATTGTGGAGGAGGTTCTGATCAGCACCGACGGTTAGCAACAATTTATCAGTATGAACAAAATTAATGGTCAAAACAGCAATCTCGTCTGGTTGTGAGGGATGTCCAAATAGCCGTGTGATGCTTGATCGTGTGAAAAAGGGCGAGGGGCAGTATGACGGCAGTCACAGGACCGCAAGTGAGGCTGCGAAAACACGTTGGTGATTCGACGGGCGCGGAGTACAATACCCCTCCAAAAACTCTCCCATCTTGAGGCTCCCATTCGATACAATCTGGGCAAAAAATATCGTGTTTTGCAGCCGATTCTTTCAAAATTATGGAATCATGGCAGCTGAAAGAAGTCATGAAATATTGTTGACATTCTATGCTGCACTAGCGCTGCCTCCCCTCAGGAGAACCGTTCATATGCGTCGTTGGAAGGCCCCATTCCGACAGACATGGGAGGGGTGCGAAGCGGTCGTCAAAACAAGATCTGATCCTGCGATTACAGAGTTTTCGCGATTGAATGGCCACAAATTCCATCCCTGCACTTCCAGGCGAGATTTTTGTGCGGCTTGCAAGAGTAATGATAAGGTGCAATATGGTGGTGATGAGGTTGATCATCACTTGGGGAACAGTGGCTCGGGGAGAAAGGAGGGGAAAGATGCAGAAGAAAACACAGAAGCTAACTCACCTAATTAAACGGCTGGATAGGAGATTTTTGGAAACCGAGAAGTAGATAAATTGAGGGAAGGAGAGCGAGGTTGTTGGAAGTTTTGGAGGTAGATATTTGGAGTTGGAAATAGAAGATGGGGGAAGGAAAGTTGAAGTGGGAGGGGAAAAGAGAGGGAGAGAGACAGGGAGAAGGGGGGAAGAGGGGACTAGCGGTGGTGGTCGTGGTGGTAATAGTAGATAGTGGTAGGTAGAAGCAGGAGTGCCGGTGCTGGTGCTGGTGCTGTCGTTGTCGCTGGCGCTGGCTCTGGCTCTGGTACTACTCCAGTTACTATTTGGCAGTAGTAGTAATAATAATAATTATCATGAGGCTGCTTGCTGTCTGGCTGAGAGAAGCACAACAGAATCCAAGAGAACAATGCAGTAATCTCTCTCTCCCCTCGACGACGTGTGATTTGCTGCTTGGTTTTACTATCCCTAGAGAGGGAGGGATTGTTCGGATGGTGATAAAAATTCAAAAGTCTCTTCAAGATTGCTTGTCATCTTACTCCTTTTACAGCTCTCTTTCAGAATTCATACAATAATCCCATTCTTCACTAACTATAATACAACTGGATCTCCTGTCTCCTTTTCCATCAAAGCCGTCTGTCTCCCTCACTCCTCTCTCCAGACCACCTCTTGGTCGTTTGTGTGGTTCGGTGGGCCATCCATCGTCATCCCTATTTCACATCCGCCAATCGTCCCGCGCGTATGAGAGATAGGATCCTCCTTTCGTCCTCCAAGGACTTGAATTCTTTAATTAGCCATTATCCAGACTATTGATTGATTGAAGCTCCTCTGCAAACTACGTGACACCTCACTGGAGACAATCCATCAATAACATAATCCTTATAATAGATTTCACGGTGCGAATCTGTACTAGAAGATAGCAGGACCGGATCTTAACTACATTACTCCAGACTCTTGCTGCCTCCAGGGTACTGTTCCATGGTTATCAAGGCCATGCACCCGCAAATTAACGAGTAGTTCTCTTGGGTTGATAGTGGGTAGGGATATAATAATAGTAGATTGTTGAAGTCCATTAGGAAGAGCTGCACCTTGAAGTTGCGCTGCTGACTGTGAGCTATTGATGCCTCGAGATCCTCGTCCTTATTGCCTTTTCTTTTTTTGGCAGAACGAGGCGTAAATTTGAATAGTTCATTTTTGGCCTTCATGAGAATCTAGAAAGCACTCAACAAAAAAATGGCTTTTGGTGTTCACCTGACCTCGCCAGACACAGATCAAGTAAGCAGGGGATCCCCTATCCCGCACTAGTACCGACTGGGTAAGCAAGCATTTTGCGCTGACTCATACACTATCACATGATCTGTTGGGCTCATTCATGTCGTCATAGGTGATTTCCGGCCGACGGCATTATGCCCAGTCCAGGTCCGAGACTTGAAAAGCTGACTACAAGAGCTTGCATGGGTGAGCCCGGAGAGGTTGATTGACAGGCATCACTGGCAAGCTAACCCAACTGAGCTGTGAGGTACTCCAGTACAATCAAGCCACCACCACCACCATCACCAACCACTCATAAAGAGCCATCTTTCCTCCTCATCATATTCTCTGACACACATCATTTTCCAGATTGTCATTTGATCATCGTTTCCTACCCTTTTTTCTTCCATTCCACTCTCATATAACACCATCCATCTCAACATGCTCCGCCAATCCGTCCGTCCCCTCTCAACCGCCAACCGCGCTCTCACCCGCTCCTTCTCTGCTCTTGCTCCCAGAATGGGTGAAGGTGACACTGGTGCTCCTCGTGCTGGCGGTATTCAGAGCGGGTATGTCTCTTCCCTCTGTATTTCTCTTCATTCATCGTCTTCAGTGCGCTGGCGCTGTCGCTGTCGCCTAAACGGATGACATCACTTATTCCCGACCGGAACCTGTTGAGAAAAGGCTAACTGGTCAATCTCTTGTAGGGATTCCTTCACACGCCGGGAAGCTGCACAGGAAAGCCTGTACATCCACGAGAAGGAGAAGGAGAAGTATGTTTTGCACCTTGATTTTTAATGCCGGACTTCCGGCAATGGGTCGATGAACAGGATACTAAAACGTCCGATTGCCAGGCTCGCATCTCTCAAGAGAAAGATCCAGGAACAGCAAGAGCATCTCAATGAGCTTGATAAGCATCTGTATGTCCCTCTGAATAACCTTCGTTCTCTTCTATTCACATTATCAAGCGACAAGTGGCTAACCTCTGTTCTACCTGCAGTGAGGAGCTGAGCCGGAACCAGGGCGGCGAGAAGAACTAAATTCGAACAACATCTACCTCACCATATCTGCACATGTTAGAATCCAGAGATTACTCAACGGTGTAACCGACTCTCAATGTTGCCTCTCACATTATTATGAATGGCCATGTCCACTCTTCCCATGTAATTCGTTTGACTGCCGTCTGGCAGCAAATCACAAGAATTATCATTATCAAAAAATATCACTATCAGGAAACCCTGTCAAAGCCTAGCACAAAGTACTATCTGTTCGGTCCCTGAATAGTCTAATCCTACGGAACGAGGTCGCAATCGCAAGCAGTAATCGTAAGCTTGGCAGTGAATTAGCTCAAATCATCTCAAAAGCTATTTTTCCTAGCATCGAAATTACAATCGCGTACCGATCCATCGTCTCCGATTTCCCTCGCTCTAGTAATCGGAAAACATGAATAACAAGAATCAATCACCGCCGTCCCATGTAGGAGCGATAGAAGTCGTCCGCCGCGCTTCCGCCGCCCATCCCAGAGCTGCTGAATCCATGACCAAACCGGGATGACAATGTATGTCCGGACTTTTGCGCGGCGCTGACCTTAGCCTGGAGCTCGGATGTGCCCTGGTCGATAAGCTGCAGTTGAGAAAGATGCGAGTTGAGGATGCGCACGATTTGAGAAATCTAGGCAGGATCGTTAGCACAACCGCGACTGACTGAAATGATACCCTTTTAAAAGAGAACGATCATAAATGTACATACCGGTTCATCGGCCTTGTTGGTCTTGCTTAGAGTAGCCGATGCACCATTGACTTCTTCAATCATGCTCGTCAAATCCTTGCCCATTTCGTCCAACTGCTCGGACAGTCTTTCGGCCAGTTTGTAGCTATCGCCAGAATTAGCAGCTGCCATATGAATCGGTATTCAAGGAGCAACATCACATACGTTCTTTCACGTTCCTGATCCGGCCCTTGGAGGGCTTCGCCAGGTCCCACCTGTTTCGACATCATCTCATCCACCTCACGCTCATACCGATCTAACCACGAGCTAAGCTCTTCCTGCTGCCCTTCAACAGATGCGAGCTGGCGCTCAATCTCCTGCGTGGCCCGATCGGCGTCGACTGTGCTGCCATAGAGTTTCTGGACCTTGGCGGTATTCTCCACCAACATACGGTCCCATTCCGCAACCTTCTCAGCCTGCTCTCGGAATTCCTTCTGGTACTTGGTCAAATCGGTAGCCCACCTCGTGATAATCTCATCCATGGTCTTGTTCTTCAGGCGAGACTGCGCCGGAGGTGTTGGGCCAACCGTCGATGCTCCAAGAGCAGTACCTCCGGCCGCTGTGGTCGTCCCGGCAGCGGTTCCAGTAGTGGTGGCGGTTGTCGATGTTGCCGGCCCGGAAGTCGCCGTGAGCGATGGCTTGACACCACCAGTGGTTGCAGTGGCGCCTGCAGCAGTGCTCGGGGCCTGGGTAGATGGTGTGGTCTCAGCAGGTTTACCGAACAGTCCACCCGTCGCCGCTGCGGGTTGAGAAGCGGGAGCGGCGGTGGTTGTTGCCGCACCTGCTTCCGCAGGCTTGGACGCACCCAGTCCAGCAAACAGACCACCTCCAGCTGGAGCAGCCGCTGGTGTAGCTGACGGGGTTGCGGACGTAGTACCTCCAAGACTGGGGAATAGTGACTTTTGCGGAGTGTCGGATGATGTGGTCAAGGCTGTAGAGGGTTGGCCGGTCGTGGTTGTGGTAGTTGTACCGAGTGAGGGGAAAGCAGGTTTCGTCCCCGAATCGGTGCCAGAGGATGGCATCTTGAAGAGTGATGAGCCTTGAGCTTGCCCGGCGGGTGCTGACGGGGCAGCTCCAAACAGGGGTTTCACAGCACCGTCGGCGGTGGTTGTTGGGGTTGTTGATTCCGCAGGCTTGTCCTTGGCGGCATTGCCGAACAAACCACCGCCACCGGGTGCCGACGGAGTTGTTCCAAATAGTGGTTTTTGTTGAGTGTTCGATCCAAAGAGACTACCTCCGGTAGATTGTGATTGTTGAGCTCCCCCAAAAAGTGTAGGCGTTCCGGCCGTCGCAGGCGCTGTCGTGGCTGCGGGAGATGCTGTCGATGAGGAAGTAGTAGTTGCGTTCAGTCCACCAAAGAGACCGCCTGGTTTCTGAGCTGCCTGTCCGAAAAGCGACTGTCCCTGCCCTGCCGCTGTTCCCTGTGGCGGAGGGCCAGCAGGTGTGGTAGAGGTGTTGCCGAAGAGTGAGCCTCCGGATGGCGCAGGAGTCGCTGCAGCGCCTCCGAATATATTCCCAGCAGGCTTTGCGGCATTCCCAAAGAGAGCATTGCCGCCGGTTTGCCCAGAAGCAGGAGACTCTCCTGGTTTGGGAGTCTGCGATCCGCCGCCAAACAAGGACGGTGACTGAGGTGTGCTACCAGACTTGGTTTGAGTTCCAAAACTAAATGCAGGCGTACTTCCGGTAGGTGTGCCGCTGCTCGCAGCACCGGTACCACCACCAAACAGGGTATTGCCAGATTTCGCCGCCGCAGGTGCCGATCCGAATAATGAGGGTGTAGAAGTGCCGCTAGAGGAAGCTCCTACATTGCCAAAGAGACCACCTCCGGTGGTGGTGTTGGGGCTGTTCTGATTGGAACCAAAAGCGTTGCCAGCAGTTCCAAATAGACCTCCGCTTGAGGTGCCGCTGGAGCCCGGCGCACCGAAAGAAAATGTGTTCGACATGATGAGAATCGTTCGCCGGGGGGGGAATTGTCAGGGCTGCCCTGGTGACCGTCAGAAGGGACGCAATGAAAAACAGTTATGATGGAGGGTGCTAAGGAAAAATCAAATGAGAAAAACTTACTGCGCCCGGAGAAAATAAGACCTGTCAAGGCAGAATTTGCGAATAGGGTGACTATCGTTATTGGAGAAGCTTTCCTCAATTGCAACAGGAGTAATAGCAATGGCAAGCAACGAGGAGAAGCTTGATGCTTTTAGCTGGAGTACCAGATGCTTTCTTTGGGGAGGGAAACGCGCGCTTCTACCCTAGTATTATTGGCGGCTGGCGTCTAGGCAACTTCATGGTTGATACCTCAGGCCACCAGGCACGTACTTTTCGGTGTGCCTAAGGCACATGGCCGAGACTCCCATAGAACCTGGTCATCGACAACAACTACATATTGGTGACAACGTCACCCAAAGCAAGGCATCCCTTTCTCACCTATATATCCATTATTCCCTTCCTTCAGACAACCTTCTTGCCTCTACTGACCGGTTCTATATGAAATACTGCCGGAAAGTATTTTAAGTTATCTTAAATGTCGGAGCGGCTCTCCCGTCCGTCCAGTCCATATCTGGAGCCCCCGAGGAGGAGTGTTGAGCTGGAAGACTCGGGGGCTCAAGACTCAGGTAAGAACTTTACCAACTCTCTCGTGCTTCTGCGTAACAATTGAATTAACTTAGTCGATGTGGTTTCCTCAGCGGTTCCCAACAGTGATGATGAACATTTTTCAGACGCCAGCGAAGGCCACGAGCGCTCTCGTTCCCGCCCACAGTCCGGTCGCACATCCCCTATCCCGTTGACTCGAGTTGAGAGGGTGGACGATCGACCCGCACACGGTGAAGTTCCCGGTACAACTGCATATGAGAAAAGGGAACAAGACGCTGTCCCTGATGAAATTGAAATCATCCCGACGGGCTCACGTAGCAGGAGCTCGTCCACTGTGAGGTCGCAAAACCGCCCATTGACTCCCGGAGGGTCGCCCATACCTCGAACAATTGTTGAAAAGGTCGATGTAAACCAACCAAGCCATGGGGACGTCCCTGGGACGCTTGCATATGAGAAGCGTAGAGCGGACGCAGTACCAGACCTTGTCATCAAAGCGCCAGAACCCGACATCGATTCACCAGCGGATGACCCCCAATCAAACGAGCCTGAATCTGTCACCGGCACGCAGGTCCCTGCAACAGTGGTCTCACAAGTAGATTCAACGGCAATTGAAGACACGACTTCAAGCCCACAGGCTCATAGGAGGCGCCCAAGTGATGCCGCTCCAGATGTGATAGAGAAGATTTCAGATGCACCAGGTATGCTTCGAATCATCATCCCATCACAGAGAGTCTCGAGGGACCATTGACCAATTCAGATCTACCCGATTCATTATCAACAAATAGCTCCGCGCATCCAGATTACACCTCACGAAGAGGCTCGTTAACGAGTGAAAACCTCAATCGTGATTCAGGTGATGTTGAGGACGACTTTGACTATGAAGACAATGCGGAACCCGAAACTCCTCGGGATCAAGCAGCTGCGGACGACTTTGACGACTTTGCAGAAGAGCAAGATTTAGCAGATGATGACTTTGGTGACTTTGACGATGCCTTTCAAGAACCGCATGGAGAGACTGCTGAGCCCGAATTGATTGAGCCTCAGCAGCCTCTCCCGCATCCTTTAGCTGTGAGTAGTCCTCTACGAAACTTGTCAGAAATTGCTGCAGTATCAATCGAGCCCTTTTTGCGCATATATATGCTAATATCAATTCGGATTTGCAGCCTCCCATAATAGATTTCGACACCTTCCACTCTTTTCCCGATCTCCACGCCGCGTTGGATCAATACCTCGACAAACTCTATCCCACTTCCAAAAATGTGTCATCGCTCCCTCCTCTAGAGCCAATCCAAGATGCCTCCTCCATCTTCAGTACTGAGCGATCCCTGTCACTTTGGTCTCAGCTCGTCGCGCCGCCGCCATTGCAGCCGCAAAACTGGGTCAAGTCTCGAATTCGCCGTCTTTTCTTGGTTTCTTTGGGCGTTCCCGTTGACCTGGATGAGATACTACCGGCTTCAAAGCAAAAGAAGCTCGTGCTTCCATCTATCAATCTGAGCGGCTCAGACACTACTGGATCTGCCGTTCATTCACGCTCTCATAGTCAGGCCAGGAAAAGCGGCTCACAAGACGGTATTGACAGCCCCACAACGTCTGGTCCGGCAGCTCGGCATCGAACATCTCGTCGCCGTGACCGGTCTCCGCCACCTGAGCTGGATTTGTCGGCGGTGCGGCGACTGTGTGCCACCACCGATGCAGCATTGGACGGGTTGACCGACGCGGAGTTGAGAGCGCATGTCAAGGAACTTGAGCAAGTCACGCTTCGGGCTAGTTCTGTCCTTGAATACTGGCTGAAGCGTCGAGATGGACTAGTCAGTGAGAGGGAGGCATTTGAAGGCGTGATAGAGAATCTTGTCAATCACGCAAGGCGTGTGAGGAAGTGAAGAAATACAGGTAATATCATATAATATGGGCTTTTTTCTTTCTTGCCTCTTTTGGATACTATCTCTCGGTCGACTCATGGGAGAATAGCGCTAGATACCAATCTTATTCTGTTCAAGGCGAGGTCGGAACCTCGTCTTATCCTATCCGCCATGGAAAAGTGACTTCCACATGAATGTTGGGTATATCTTCGCCCGAGTTCGGGTGATGATGGCTTTTTCGTCGCCAGGTAGACATCGTCGAGTTAAAGTGTATGATATCATTAATCAATGGTGTTATCAATAGCCAGATTCATCCGTCCATGCCTTGGAATCTCCGCATCTGCCACCTCTGATCGGCTGGACTTTCCTCATATCCATGACCCCTGCACGTAACCCCATTTAATTTAAATACGCTTCATTAGTCCCGAACCATGCGTTCAATGTTCTGTGATTATCGTCAAAATGGCCTCCATGCCATTGCCTCATCGCTCGAAAGAAATTACCAGCATTCACCTCACTGACTCTGAAATAAGCAGCCGGCAAATCGGTCCGCATAATCTTCAGCGTGCCATCGAAGCTCTTCACCAGGATGGTGTTGTTGTCGTGGAAAACGCAATTCCTCCTTCCTACTTGGACGAGCTCAACACTCTCATGACTCCTGACGCTTACAAACTCTACGAGAAAAGATCCACGCACCGGAACTTTGGGCCCGAAACGGGGAACATCCAGCAAGAAGTTCCCGTAAAAAAAGCTATTGACCATTTTCGCGAACAGATACCCGACACCGAGGATGGCGAACATAAGTCGCAGAATCCCCTATCGATGATCATCGCAAACCCCTTTGCCACCGCTGTCATCGAGTGCATGCTAGGCCCCAAGCCACAGCTTCGATTCCTCAGTGCAAACACGGCCTTTAGGACAAAGGAGGCAGGTCGTCAGCCGCCGCATATCGACGTCGCATTTGACTTTCCCCGCGTTCCGTTCGGCTTCTGCGTGAATGTAAATCTGGTTGATACGACAGCTACGAATGGTGCGACTGAGCTCTGGCCTGGAACGCACACTGACACTGATTTGTCGGTGCTGATGCCTGATAATGATGGAGTGATTCGGAAGGAGCTGGTGGAGGCTCGGCGCAAGCTCTGTCCGCCGGTGCAACCTGTATTACCCAAAGGGTCCATCATTATTCGGGACTTTAGGTTGTGGCATGCTGGGATGCCGAATCGGACGGATGAGCCGCGGGTTATGCTTGTCACTGTGTTGTTTGCACGCTGGTATAGGAGTGAGCTGAAGATGAGACTCCCGGAAAGTTGCAGAGGTGAGATCGACTGGGGTGATTTAGAGCCATTTGTGAGCTGGATGGGAGAGGATTATGATTATTTGCAGGGTTCTCATGATCATGATTTTGTTCTGCTGCCATAAAGACACCAGAGTAGAGGGGGGTAGTAGCTTGAATAGTGAATATATAGTTCGTTGGTGGGCACAGGAAGACAGTACGACAGTAGAAAATCGAGCCAAAGCATAAAATAGAACAATAATGAAGTCAACAGAATGTCCCCAAAATTTTCATCTGTGTCATTAGAACATGGCTACCTAGTATTTATTTGTTGCTGTCTTCCCCAAGTTATCGAAATCTGCTATGATAAAGACCCACTGTCCACTGTTGCCAATCAAACGGCGAAACATCGGCCCGCAAAGATTTTCTCCAAAGCATCCCAGATGCTCAACTTTACATGAACAGTTTCAACGCCTTCATCTCGCCTTTGATTCTGTCAGATCAAAGCACCTGTCTGAACCCTGAAAATCGTTTGTCTGCACCAGATCATCAGCCACAATGGGTATCGCCAAGAAGACTCGCAAGTTCGCGCAGGCAAGTCCACAAACCAACATCCTACACTACGCCAAGCACCATACTAACTCAAGCAACGAAACAACAGGTCAAACGCGCCATCAGCCAGCGAGACAACCGCGTCAAGCAGCCCTTGAACGGCAAGAAAGAAGAGAAGAAGCCCCAAGGCGAAGAACTCACCCGACACATCCCCGTCGCCCCGTCAAACATGTTCTTCGCCGCCAACACCGCCCTGGGTCCTCCCTACACCGTGCTCGTGGATACCAACTTTGTTTCGCACACGATCCGCGCGAAACTGGATATGCTGCCTGCTATGATGGATCTGTAAGACGACTGGACACTTGATTTTTCATCGGACGAACGAGACTGACAATTGTGTGGCTAGGCTGTATGCCAAGTGCATCCCGACCTTCACAGACTGCACCATTGCCGAATTGGAGAAGCTGGGCCCGAAGTTCCGGCTAGCGTTGAGGGTCGCAAAGGATCCGAGATGGAATAGGCTGCATTGTGATCACGCTGGTACCTATGCTGATGACTGCATTGTGGACAGAGTAAGACTGCTTTTCACCCCTCTGAGTGTCATGGTTCGCAAGCCTTTTGCTAATTTTTGATTCGGCGTGATAGGTCATGAAGCACAGAATCTATACCGTTGCTACGAACGATAAGGACCTTGTGCGGCGCATTCGCAAGATACCCGGTGTCCCGATCATGAAGGTTGCCAGAGGCAAATATGTTATCGAGCGGCTACCTGACAGCTTCGACTGAGCGGCTCGAATATTTTGCGAAAATTTCCTGGCGACGGCGAACCACCGCGCACCAGGGAATTGGTTATCATCTTTGCATATCATTGCTCTGTGTCTTGAGCTTCAAGGCGGCTATCTATCATCTGAGGTTGCTACAGCGTTCCTTCCGAGGCAGTTCGAACTTTTTCGGTCGGGCTGGGAGGAAATAACAGAGATGCATTACTCGGTTCACGAGGGTTGGATCAAGAGTTGCTTTCATGCGTGTCGCTGGCCACAGCTTGATCCCAATGGCCTGCCCGCAGCCAGCAGGACCTGGCTCCCCATCAAGATGAATACCTTGATGCACGCAATCTCTGGGCGGGTATGGACGGCCACGGGGGCACTGTGGTGCGCTTTTCGTTTCAGATACTATTATACCCATCGCAGCGGTTGTCTTATACATGTCACCTTATGACAAACTATATCCAGCTCTCTGGTTTCTTATACCAAAACTTTCTCCCGTGCGTAATGGAATGTGATTCCGCTCCCAGTTTCCACAAGCAGTTTGTCAAGACTACTTGGTTCCAGAAGCGTTCAAAGACAAGGTGTATCAGTACAGCGATAAAAGTATATTTAATTTCTGCGCAAGAACATGGAATTGGGGTATCTTGTGCTGTAAACCAAATCAAAAACGCCGACCAAACCGCACCACCGTGCGGATGGTATGCTGAAATCAAAAAGCAATCAACTCCGTTGTACGTAGAGTCAGCGGACAAATCACCTAACTAATCGAGTTCGATGACCAAAGATGCTGAGGATTCGCGAGAAGCTAGCGATTCTCGACCAGCGTCTTCGGTCTTCAGTCGCTGAGTTGCGACAGGCGAAACAACACCCTCACGTTTTCGTTTCAATGAGCTGCCTTCCTGTGCCCGCGCAAGCTCCTTTTCAGACGAAGTGCCTTCCCCATCACTCTTGAGCTCCCAAGATCCGTCCGCCTTGATCTTGATTGCTCTTGCTCCCTCGAGGCAACCCGTGCGTACAAGATCGGCACGGACTTCTGTAAGAAAGTCATCGATGATCAAATGCTGAGGACGGGCGTCTGCGCCGCAGATTGGGCATTTCCAATTCTCCTTCAAGGCAGCTTTACCCGCCTTGGAAGCCCTGGTCAAGATGTATGTCTCGAGATCAAAGCATTCCACGTGCTCGCAAGTAATTCCGCGAGCAGGAATGTTGAATATTCGAGCCATGAACGGGTCCACTAAATTGACCGTGAGGTAGTCACTGACAATACTTAATTCATCGTCGGCAGTGCTGGAGGAAAGACGTCGACGAATCCGCTCACGAGACTGGAGTGCGGGTAGGGTCTGAGCGAGCTTCTTCACTTGAGTGAAACTGAGGATATCCATGACCTCTACCGCCAACGCATATACTACGTCTCTGTTCTCGGCGGCGCTGCGGATGAAATGCAGGGTGATAGTATTCAAGCCTTCTTTTAGGTGACCACTGATGTCCAGAGGAATATCTTTGCCGTTGTGAAATTTGCGGCGAACATAGAGTTCTACACCGTTCACAAAGACGTAAATAACACTGGGCCATACAGATTCTGTGAGACACCAAGTATGCTGGCTCACCTCATTCGCCGACGGCGAAATGCGAATACACCGCAGACGGTATATCTGACTACCATCAACCAGGGATCGCACTAGACGTTGGCCAGTATCGCGAGGCACGATTCGAGGAAGCCGGTCAAAGTCTGCTCGGGAAAGAGGAAACTGCCATTCAAAAGCAGACTCTGCCAGCCCCAGAGGAGTCGGCGGTACCGCGAACGAGTTTAAGTAATGGAACAGATTCGTCTCCTTGTCTGTCTTTTCTCCTCCTGCTCCCGAAGAATTCCATTTGATAATGGGATCGCGGAGATGTGCTTGATGTAGGGCCTGGCGGAGAGGGTGAGGCCGTGTCATGGTAGATGGTAGGGACCCCGGTGGAGGAAGGAGCGGTTGTGGTACCGGCGGACTTTGCTGCGGTTGCTGCACCAGCCCTTGCACGTGCCGCGTCTTGGTAGTAAAGCGATGAATAGGAGTTGTGCTTGGCATAGCCTGAGGTGAAGGTTGTGGTGGAATTCGGCGGCCATTCTGAGAAGGCGGGTGCGATAGTATTTGCGCCTGATATCCAGCAGGTGCAGGTGCAGGTGCAGGCACCGGTGAATGAGTAGCCGTGCCTGTCATCTGCCCAGCTGGCACTTGAGAGGAAGTGTCAAGCCCCCTGGCATGCACGAGGTTTGGCCGTGTAGGGAGTGGATGCTGGGGGCTCTGACCATTCAGAAGCATCGACGCGGCACGATTCATGGCACCAGGAGCATGAGCAGGAACTGGCTGGGTCTGCGGTTGAGAGCAATGTACAGGTACTTGCGCGGACGGCATCTGAGGGCTTGGGACTGCGACATATGTGATCTGCCCTGCGGGCCCAACGGTCTGCATTGAGCGCTGGGATAAGGGCTGAGCTGCGTGGTCTCGTGCCACAGATGAAGTATGTTGGCCAACTGGCGATGTCTGGGTGCCGGAAAGGGCCTTGTACGCCTGGATCAAACGCTCGTTCTCGCGATGAAGCTGCTGCGGAGTGAGTCTGGAACCGAACCGTTTCACGTAATTCCGCTTGTTCTTGCTGTAAATACTCCGCAACTGGTCTTCATGCTGGGTGCCGAAAATCCTTCGGGACAAGGCTAGGAATACTATTGATAATAGTACGGAGGAAGTTATGCCAAATTGCACGACTAATTCATCAATCAAAGGGGGATAGCCGCGCTCTCGGACATGGCGATCAAAAGCCGTCCACTTTTCGGAAAAGAAACCCAGGGAACGAGCGATCTGATGGAGAACTATTGGGAACTCGCGAGTCTGGCACATCACACCCAGCGGCCGGGGAAAATTAACGCTCCACCTCAAGAAGTCGCCTGATAGACGGTGGTTGTCTACTAGAAGCTGCTGCACAACTTCCATTCCCGTCTCGTTTTGTCCACTTACGTACGGTAACCGAGCAAATTCCGAGGGAGCAAAGGTGCGCAGGGTGTATATTTGATGGAGAGTTAGGTAGAATAGATCCTTTTCGAGACAGGCATCCCGTAGAAGACGTGTCCGTGGCAGTTCCACTGTCTCTGAGAGCAGCATGGCACCATCCGCTCTTGCCACGAAAGCATCTAGGGCCTCCTGCGACTGTGTCCAAAATGTCTGGTTGATGAAGGAAGTCGAAGGACCCGGGCCAACGGGGCTGGGAGGAACATGGTTCGAATCTGGCGCTGCGCTGGTCATTGATGGTCGAGACTGCTGTTGTACTTCAGGGGGGGCCGGGGCTATGAACTGCTGGGGACTCGCAGTCGCCTGGTGTCTCTGCCGGCCTCTAATGGTGGCTGGCGCCGAAGTTTCCTCGGCCATCCTCTCCACGCCCGCTGTGGTCGGCGATGCGCTGGCGGGCATGAGATTGCGATAGCCAATTCGCCTAGGGTTTTCCAGTTGTCCGTGTATCTGCATCGGCCCGGAGACTGGCGGAGGGGATGGGAGAACGCCATGTGACAAACTTCGGTCATTCCGGTCTCCAGCGCTAGCAGGGCTAGGATGGGAGGCACTGCTTGGATCGGGAGACGGAAGTGAGGAGGAATGGGACTGCTGCAGCGGTTGAGTTGCGTGTACGAACGCCGTCGACTCACTCGTCAAAGGAGTAGCGCTGAAATTCGTGGTAGGTGTTGTGGTAAACACGCGAGCGCTTGGCGGTACCCCAGGACCGGGTGGTGGAATTTCGCGATTTTGCGGAAGGATTCCCCCGGGCGTCACAGGTGACATTAAGACCGACGGCGGGGACGTAGCAGGAGGATGGATGATGTTACCATTGGCAGTGAAGGCGACATCATTATTATCTCTTTTGCTCTGACTCTGCGGGACGATTCTGATGGAGGATGAAGGGGAGTTTTGCATGCCTTGCGGTCGACTTTTGGGTCGGTTGGCAACGGCAGAGGCAGAGGCAGAAGACGGAGCCGAGACAACAGCAAGTGAAGACTGGACGGCAGCAGGAGCAGGAGCAGGAGCAGGAGCAGAGTTGATTGACAAGGAAGATGAAGCATCCAACATCCACGATCTCCGCACTCCAACACCGCCCAGGAATAAGTTTGCCGTCGAATTGGACCATTCCAGCTGGTGATGCGGATTATTAGGTAAGTGCGGTCGATTCTTGGTGGAAGGACTCATGGTGAAGGGCAAACATGGTTTCTTGTTTCCCCTAGGCGATGAATCCTTTTTCTTTGGTTATGGCTTTTTGCTTTATTTCTATCAAAGAGAATAAAACAACAAGTAGGGATCGTCCTTGTGGTACAATTAACAGGGCTGAGGTGTATTTATCTTTGATCCCCTCACCGTTTGTTGTTGTCCATGCAGATCCAAGGAAGCGCCGTTTGTTCCAGGACCAGCTAGGATGGTGATATGAGTGTCTGCACAGCGATCTAGAGATTTAATCACGAGGGGAATTACAGAAGTATTTAACTTAGGTGAAATAATGAAGAGAGCTGGGGCGGGGTCTAGTCTTATAATAGAATAAAGAAAAGGGTAATAAAGGAACAGAGGAAGTACTTTTGGTGAATTAAGGAAGGGTAGATGGTAGTGACTACCTAAAGGTACTGGATATAGAGCTATAAGTAGGGTAATTACTTCCTATTCACTATTAACTCACAGGTGTCAGAAAAGTGATAGCTATTACAAGTGAAAGAAAGAAGTCCTTGAATCATAATATGATCAACATCTTAATGCTTATATATTATTCTATCTATCCACTCGCTTCCTTTATTGTACCTCTGTGGCAATATCACTATGGAAACACCCCTTCCAACGCACTTTCAAAGGTACCTGCAGAGGGATCTCGGGCAAATACAGGCATAAAACAAATATCCATACGCTGTACGAAGTAGACTGCTGCATAAGCATGTCCTTTATATAGGTATATAGGGGTAGACAAACTGTGCCCATAGTCCCAAAATCAAGAATGATGGATACAGGATTCTATAGTATGCTAGGTAGCCATTTCAAGTATTATAGTTCAAAGGGACCAGTCTACTCCATACCAAGGGCACTCTACCTTCAGACCCCTAGACCGACCAGAGTTCTATCCAAGGGTTAGACTATATTACAAACCCTCGCTTCCCATCATAGCCCGAGAATTCATCGATAAATCAGATGTGGACCAGTCGAATTCCTTTATATACGAGTCTCGAGGCCTTGAATTCAGTCCAATCGGTGATGCTTATATCGATGCTGGGTTGAGATCTTAAACACCATGTACTAAATCATTGAATGCCGACTGTCGAAGATAGCAGCCTGACATCCTCTCATTTTGATACGTAGTATCAATGCCGATTTTAAGATGATGGGCCCTCCCACCAGATGACTAGTACTACTAGTGTCTGTACATACCTGGGAGCGCACACACACACATCCAAGTATATGAATCGACTCCTTGCGCCGAAGACGAACTCAAAAGAGGGACTATCGCTGCTACTCATTATTTTCGCTTGAGTAAACACTCCGGGAGATCACAGTCGATACGATAACACTGCCCAAATTGTCTGTCCTGAGATCCACTTACATAGTAGAGTATGTACACCTGTTCCTCGTGAGGTATCTCTCTCCTCTGTTGGCTCCAGTCAACCGCTTTCATCTATCACATCTTCGTCATCATCATCAAGTCGCAATTCCACGATCATCAACTTGGTCGAGCCTCAGAACATACCACTATTTGTATATCTCTAAGATTCCGTCCATCAGATTTGACTCAAAAGTCGAACTTTCCCCCCTAGTCTTCTACCAAAACAGCTCCTCTGGGACGACTGAGCACTGGAGCAGTGAGTCGAATCAATAATTAAGCTATTATTTACGGCCGACGCTCTGACGACCGCAAGCGCCAAGCATCGAATCCTCAGGCCATTATTTTTACTTTCCTCAACTCCACTTGTCATCTTCGCCATCGTCGAGACGTCCACCGCGGATATTCACCATTCAGCATAATCAAATATCCGCTCGTCCAGTTTCACTGTACCAGACGCCGGACTTTTGACGTGGAGTACAGAGTACTACGGGAAAGCTGGAAGACCTGACGCTCGTGCAGCCGCCCATTTGGCGCCCGTTCCCACTCCTTAGCGTTCTGGCCATATTGAGTCTATACATGACCCTGGGATCGTCGCTGGTTTGCTTATCCGCCTGGTGAACCCCCAGCAAGAGCAAACTGAAGCTTAATTTTGTTCCTTGTGTTCTGTTCTATTTTCGGTCGATCAAGTGAATCGAGCGAGATATAGAACGACGGGTTGTCCCGCTCACTTTTCGCCAAACCTATGCTGATCTCAAGAAAGGTACTAGGTACTTGAAAACTAAGACTGTCAAACTTATCTCTAGTGCAGTGTTGGGCCAATCTCGAGCCTCGCTCCAATTTGCGCCCGCTTCTCGGCCCCGCCGTTTTCCTGTCCCTGTCTTGGATCTTCCCTAAGTTCATTCTTCTCTTCTCCGGTTTACCTAGATTCCAGACGGCCTGGCCTTACCTGATTCAAGGCGGTGGTGCCTTCGCGTGGCTTGTCGCATTCCTGAACGCAAGCGCATCGTCATCTGCCATTCCGTTCGCGAGCCCCCTCCCTGTCTTCAACACCGCTGGAGGACGCCCCGCCCTCATTTCGCCAAACAGAATAATACTAGAAGAGAAAAAGGGAAAGAAGCGCAATCCATCTCTCCCTCTGGCCTCAGAGACTTAAACTTCCAGTTTACCCGGGAGGGCTGCTTGGCCCCATGTCCTGCGCAATCCTTCCGCTACCACTTCTGTTGCCGCTCCTGCTCTGACGACGGACAACCCCACCTTGCTTCTTTGAATTATTGATCGACTGAGGGTTCTTCGATGGCTCTCTCAACACCGCCCCGCGGCGTTCGCCCGGGTGATTTTTTGCTCGTTGTCCGTAAGTAGATATTTTGCCTTGCCCCGGTCGCACGGATTGCCGCGATTTACCCCCGCTCGCCGGTCGATCAGACTTGACAGGACTCAATCACGATAACTGACCTGTCGCTGGTCTTTAGATGACTTCGACGCGCGTGGAACGGATGAGCTTACTTTGCGACGAGGGGAGAAGATTGAATTGATAGAACTTGACGAAGGCTTCGGTGATGGTTGGTACTTAGGCAAAGATGTTAGAACAGGGACAACCGGTCTTTTCCCTGGTGGTATGCTCTCCTTTTTTGGACCAAACTAGTCGTTGTGATTATAACTAATAAAGGTCGTTTGATTTAGTTTACACAACCGCCGCCCCGAAGATCCCTATCCGACCGCCGAGAGAGGACATGATTGATTTGGACGACCCCAAACCGGCAGTGGAGGACCAGCTCTCGTCCGAATTGGTTGCGTCGCCCAAGAGCGGAGAATCTACGCCGCAGGCATCTCGACACCCTAGCATATCGGAGACACAACCGCCAGAAGTAGCCACGGACCTATCATCCGTGAGGCCTTCCCCCAACCAGCAGCACCGGTCAAGCTCGTCTCCTTTGCCCACTTCGCGACTCGCCGTCGATATTCAGCAGTCGATCAGACAGACCCTAGACGGTCAATTGAAAGGCCAGGACAGCCCGGTTATGAATGAGACCTTGAGTGTTATCGATGAGCACATCACCGACCTGAGCACCCCGCGCCATAGTGTTGCCAATCACGAAAACAAAGCAAATAATGATTCCTCGAGCGAATATAGCAGCCATCTTGAACATCGGGTCTCCTACATCAGGGGCCATGAAACCGATGAAGAAGAGGAAAACCAGCCGACCGAGGAGCAAGTACGGAGCTGGGATGCGGCTGAGACAGCGAGGCACTTGCGTGAACTGGGAGTGGAGGCGAAACACTGCGATATATTCGAGGAGCAAGAGATAACCGGTGATGTGCTACTGGACATGGATCAGGATTTTCTCTTTATGAAGGAGTTTGACTTCGGCGTCATGGGTCGTCGGTTGAAGACGTGGCACAAAGTCAAGGCTTTCCAAGAGGAGGTCAAGGGTGTGAAACAACAACAGCAGCAACGGGGCTCTGCCTCCAGCTATCCTGCGCCGCCGGAAGAAAGATCTCTCAGCCGTGCCAGCCACACTGGCCCTTTTCTTCCCCGCATCCCTCACCTTACAAGAGGCTCGGCCGGCTCCATGCAGCACCCACGACTTGTGAGTAGCGGGGTATCGAGTAACACAAGTTCTCCTATGACTCCCCAGACTCCCAACTTCATGGATCATCAAAGAAGACCTTCAGCAGCGTCCATCCGGGAGATCAATCACCACCGTCGTCATTCTTCCATAGACACAGGTCACCGCGTGGATACATCGCCTCACACTGGTCATCTTAAGCAGTCTTCATTTGACAGAAATTGGACTATGGCCAGCGGATCACAGCGGGTCCCCTCTCGCTCAGGCACTTACCCCATTTATCACGAAGGAGTACATCCCCAACACGCTTTCCGGCGCCCGGATACCAACGAGTCTGACTCTGCGGTCTCCGTGACCGATCGGTATGATGAGCTAGAACGGGGATACTTCTCTGGTCCCGAAGGAGATACCACGAAGAACAGGAGACTGTTGCAGAAACGGACCTCCGTGACTGGAAGTGCAACTCATTCTCGGCAACCTAGTTATGCCGATGATAAATTGAAAGTCAACAAGCGACATTCCCGCATCTCCAGCGTCGACTCGATCCGAGATACGGCCAAGCAACCTCCCTCTGCTGCTGTGGTGGACGTTCAGACTACTGCAGCGCCGAAAAGCCGATTTAGGAGCCTGAGCACTCGAGTGATTGACCGGCGCGGTCCAACTTCGCAGTCTTCCACCACCACAACTTCTACAGAGAAGCCTGGCTCTAGCTCTGGCTTCTTTTCATCGTTTGCACCGCTTGCCCCCTTTGTGGGAAAGTCGGATGCTGAAGGATCAGGACGTGCATCTTCCTTATCTTTCTCTCAGAGCAAGAGTGGTGGGCCCAAACCACGGCGCACCGGTGGGCTCCGTATCATATCCGATGTTGTCGGGAAGGGTATCGACACCTCTGTCGCGCCAGCCTCGCCCGTTAGAGATACCGATCCAGCCTCGGTCAGAACCGGTTCTACTACACCGTCGACGTCGAAGAGTTCTGAGAGGCATAGCACTGAAAGCTCGATCAAGAACGCAGAGGGAGGAATAGCTTTGCCGCGTCCAAGGGCATC